GTGTGTGTGTGTGTGTGTGTGTGTGTGTGTGTGTGTGTGTGTGTGTGTGTGTGTGTGTGTGTGTGTGTGGCACCTGAGTGCGTGTACGTGCTTAAGGGGTGCGGGGAGATGCTAAGTGTGTGCTGGGGTGTGAGTGACAGAGTGTTGAGGGGCAGGGTTGTCTTCCTCTCCTCTTCCCCTCCTCTTTCCCACTCTCCCTCTCTTCCCCACTCTCCCTTTCTTCCCCACCTCCTCCTCCTCCTCCTCATCCCCCTATCTGTCTTCCCCTCTTCCCTCTCCCTTTCCCCACTTCCTCCTCATCTTCCCTCCCTTCATTTACTCCCCCCGACCCCCTCTTCCTATTCCCCTTCCTCTCTCCCCCTTCTATTAATATCTCACTCTTCTTTTTCCCTCTTTCCCTCCTCCCCCCCCCCTCCTCTCCTCCTCCCCTTCCACTCTTCCTCTTCTCCTCTCCTCCTCGTGGTCGGGGCTGGAGGCAGTGGTTTATGTAGTGTTAATTAAAAATCCAGCTTTTCCCACTGAGCTCTGCCTAATTTCTGTGCCCTTCCGTCATCCCCACGTTCACTGCTTCCTGTCTCTCTCTCTCACTACACCTGACTCTCTCTCTCTCTCTCTCTCTCTCTCTCTCTCTCTCTCTCTCTCTCTCACGTCTTCTTTATCTTTCTTATCGGTGTTGCAGGAAGAGTGTAATTTCTGAACCTGGAATAAAGTGTAAACTCTCAACTCTGAACTAATCTAAAACAAGTATTTTCTTACTAATCTCCAACTTGTTTACCCAGACCAACACTCACCTGACGCTGTGTATAAATATAAGTAGATTATAAGTAGTTTACACAGACTCAATCGGTATTTACTTACATACATGAGAACTGTATAAATACTTGGTGAAATTAACCAGTGATAACGCTTTGAAGTATGACCCAACCAACCTAACCTAACCTCACTAACCTACCCTAACCTAACCTAACCTCACTAACCTAACCTAACCTCACTAACCTACCCTACCCTAACCTAACCTCACTAACCTACCCTAACCTAACCTACCCTACCTAACCTAACCTCACTAATCTACCCTACCCCTAACCTACAACCTCCCCACTGCTTTCTACCTAACCCTAACCTCTAACCTACCCCTAACCTACCCTAACCTAACCTCACTAACCTACCCTACCCTAACCTCACTAACCTACCCTAACCTAACCTCACTAACCTACCCTACCCTAACCTCACTAACCTACCCTAACCTAACCTCACTAACCTACCCTAACCTAACCTACTATAACAAGCCGTCAAAGAGCATTACTTTATCTACCAGAAACAAGTTATAGAGACACGATAATTTCTGAACTATAGGGAGTTACTGGGCGATAATTTACTCTCAGTCAAGATATGTCGGTAGGGATAAGTTCTCTGCCTTGCCTACCACAAAATCTCCTCCTTCCTTCCTTCTCCCTCTTCCTCTTCCTCCTCATCTCCTTCTACCTTACCACAACACCTCCTTCATACCATCTCCTCTTATTCCTTCTTCCTCCTCCCCATCCCATCACCATCTCCACACCATCTCCTCCTCTTCCCCCTTCCTCCTCCCCATCCCATCACCATCTCCACACCATCTCCTCCTCTTCCCCCTTCCTCCTCCCCATCCCATCACCATCTCCACACACACCATCTCCTCCTCTTCCCCTTCTCCTCTCCCATCCCATCTCCACCTCCACACCATCTCCTCCTCTTCCCCTTCCTCCTCTCCCTATACTTCCTGCCTACACCTTATGGTTTAAGATAACACTTCCAATATATCAAGTTCAGTCCTCGATAACCTAACCACTAAGACAAGTTCCTGTGAGTGAAATAACTTACCTACCGAGATAAACTTTCACTCCGCTGTAATTTACGGCATTAGAAGCTGTCAGTGAGCGATGATCTGTCAAAACCTAACCTAACCTAACCTAACCTAACCTAACCTAACCTAACCTAACCTAACCTAACCTAACTTACTACAAGTGTATCAAATCTTCCTATTAAAAAAAAAATTTAAATATTTTTCACTATTAATATTAAGTTGTGGTAAAGTAGCAATATTTTTCCTCCAACAGTTGATGATACTGACTTACCTGTTAGGGAGGAAGGTAATTACTTGGTCTACCTTTGATGGTGTGGGAGATGATGTCATACCTACGATTTTGGTTGCCAGGTTGTAGCCCCCTTCACCATCCCCCCAACCTCACCCCACCATACCAACCCCGCACCCCTCCCCAACCCACCTCCATTCTTCACCCCACCCCCCCTCACCTCACCCTTGTCAAAGAGTGAGTGAGTGAATTAGTGTTCGGTCGGGTGTAAAAAACAAAACCGAGTGTGGGCTAGTTCTGTCGGGTGGGATAATCTGTTGGGATATTAAGTCCGTCGGGTAAATACATCCGTCGGAAAAGTATATCCGTCGGGAAAGTATGTCCTTCGGGGAAATAAATCCGTCGGGAAAATAAAAACATCAAGAAGTTAATCTGGAATTTAACCGTTAAATCCATCGAGTAATCCGTCGGGAGAGTCCATCGGGATAATCAGGTCGAGAAAGTTGACTGGCGAGTCTATTGGCCAAGTCTACGGAGGGAGAGAGAGAGAGAGAGAGAGAGAGAGAGAGAGAGAGAGAGAGACCCCTCAAGTGCTCCTATTATGTGACTGATGCCATTCTGAGTATGTTTACAGAATGCCATTGGTAAGGATTTGTTTGTTTGTTTGTTTATTGTTTTCTTATGTCACTACATTTTGCTGATGATGAGGAGTATTTTGCTTATTTTCTTTCGTGAGTTGTTTGATTCTTCGATCTCTCTCTCTCACTCTCTCCCCGACTCCCTCTCACTCTCTCCCCGACTCCCTCTCACTCTCTCCCCGACTCCCTCTCTCTCTCTCTCCCCGGCCTCCCTCTCACTCTCTCCCCGACTCCCTCTCCTCTCTCCCGGCTCCCTCACTCTCTCCCCGACTCCCTCTCTCTCTCTCCCCGACTCCCTCTCACTCTCTCCCCGACTCCCTCACACTCTCTCCCCGACTCCCTCACACCTTCAGTAAATAAAAACATCATAGTGTCTTTACTAATGGGAGGCAGTTAGTTACATCCTCAGCATTTAATAGTTAACAGCACCGACATTAACTGTATGAATCCATCCAGTTAGTTACATCTTCACGAACAGTCAAGAGGAAAAAAAAAGCTGTTTGTGTAGGTGATACGAGTGACCTAGTTTGCTGTGTCCTCACCGTCTACCAGTCAGGAAGGTCGGAAATTTACCGTACGAACCTTTCAGACACGGGCAGGTCGGCTGGACCCTCCCTGGCTGTAACTGTCCACTAACTGTCCAGAATACTGCCGCATGTTTCACAATTAACAGGTGCTGGCCTGTAGAGGAGGTGGTGTGTCCGCAGTGCATGTAGGGGTGGGTGGATGTAGGTGGTGGTGTGGCATGGAGAGTGATGGTGGCCTGTGATATGGTGCCTTATCCTGTGATGGTATGATGAGGCTGTGGGGAGGGTATGTTGTGTGTCCTGTAGAGATAGGTGGTGTGATCTGTAGAGGTATGGCCTGTAGGTGGTATCTGGAGATGATGATGTTGGGGTTTGTAGGACGATGGATAGTTTTAGGAAAGATGATGATGGTAGGATGGAGGAGGGAGGAGGAGGAGGAGGAGGAGGAGGGAGGAGGAGGAGGAGGAAGAGGAGGAGGAGGAGGAGGAGGAAGAGGAGGAGGTGGAAGAGGTCAGGGTTACCTTCAGGGTTATAGTCACTGTCAACCGGGTCCTCTCTCTTCTCTCTCTGTACAGGTGCACCACGGTCTGATGACGTCATACACTAGTTCATTAATCGCTAAAAATATTTATTTTTTACTTCAAAGTATAAATTGATTCCTGGAGTCATGTGATTACTGATTGAAAAGAAGCCATACACAGTTAGACAGACAGACACACAGGGAGACAGACAACTGTCAAAGAGACAGACAGACAGACAGACAGACAGACAGACAGACAGACAGACAGACAGACTCGATAGATCAACATACTTATCGATTTATTTTGTCTGGTAATTAAAACTGAAGGGGAGGTAGGGGGAGGTAGGGGAAGGGGGGGGGAGGGGGGGAGGTGGGTGGAGGGGAGGGGAGAGGTAGGGTGGGGGGAGAGGAAGGTGGGGGAGGGAGAGAGGTAGGGAGGGAGAGAGGTAGGTGGAGGGAGGGGGGTAGGGGGATGGGTGGAGGGGAGAGAAGGTAGGGTGGAGAGGGGAGGGAGAGGTAGGTGGAGGGAGGGGGGTAGGGGGAAGGTAGGGTGGAGAGAGGGAGGTACGGTTAGGTTAGGTGAGGAATAGGAGTCGAGCCACTTATAGTCTAAATAATGGCCATGGACTATAGTGGATGATGGTGACTATAGTGTGGATGATGGTGACTATAGTGTGGATGATGGTGACTATAGTGTGGATGATGGTGACTATAGTGTGGATGATGGTGACTATAGTGTGGATGATGGTGACTATAGTGTGGATGATGGTGACTATAGTGGATGATGGTGACTATAGTGTGGATGATGGTGACTATAGTGTGGATGATGGTGACTATAGTGTGGATGATGGTGACTATAGTGTGGATGATGGTGACTATAGTGTGGATGATGTGGATGATGGTGACTACAAGTGGATATGTTGAGTGATGTCGAGTAAGAGTAGAGGTGGAGGTAGAGGACGGGAGGGTGGAGGTAGAGAGGGTGTGGGATGGGAGGGAGAGGGGAGGAGGTGGAGGTAGAGAGGGAGTGGGTGGAGGTAGAGAGGGAGTGGGTGGAGGTAGAGAGGGAGTGGGTGGAGGTGGAGAGGCCGGAAACATTTAAGAGGGTACGTAAGCCTCCTCACGAAGCTCTTGGAAATTTAGATCGATTCAGTGTTGCCAGAAACCTCCCACAGCCTTCGAGACTCCATCTTCTACCCTCCTCCCTTCCCTCACCTCCTTCCTCTATCATGGGGAGGAGGGGAAGGGAGGAAGAGGAAGGAGAAGGGTGAGGAAGGAGGGAAGCAGGGGAAGGAGGAGGGTGAAGGATGAATGAGAAAGATGAGGATGAGGAAAATTATTAAGGAAGGAGGGAGGGTAGGAGGGGATGAATGACTAAGAAATAGGAAGGGTGAATGATGATGTAGGAGGGAGAGAAGAAAAGGGGTGAACAAAAGGGGAAGAAGAATTAGGGGGTAATAACAACGAAACATAAAATTAAACAATAACGCAGTAGATACAGAACAAAAAATGAAAATAATGAAGAGAAACGAAAAACTAAATTATTCCCCTGACTCACTCACTCACTCACCTGCCCGACGAATCAATTAACAACAGGATTAATTAAAATTTTCTATAAATCACCAAAAAAATCAATAAATTCCAAGATATATTTTTCCCCTATCGGAACTAAAGATAACCCGACGAAGGAAGAGAACCTGGGTGACGAAGGGGTAAGGAAAAGTGTCCCTAGAATATAGAAGTCACTAATGAACCAAGAATTAGTCGAGATAGTACTGTAATTAGGGTTATTAATTCCCACCTTGGAGACCATAATTAAGTGGTATTAGCGGGTATTTAATTCTCAGACGTGAGTGAGAGTCTCGAGGTCAACAAAATACCATAGAAAAGATAAATGTAAAGAGCTATGGTCGTGGAATGAAGCCGCAGTTAGAGACCTCGACCATTTGATGGCTTTTAAACCCTTCCTCGCCCCCTTCCTCCCTTCCTCGCCCCCTTCCTCTCGCCCCTTTCCTCCCTTCCTGCCCCTTTCCTTCCCGCCCCTTCCTCCCTCTTCCTCGCCCGCTTCCTTCCTTCCTCGCCCCTTTCCTCCCTCCCTGCCCTTTCTCCCTTCCCGCCCCCTCCTCCCTTCCTCGACCGTTTCTCCCTTCTCGCTCCCTCCTCCTTCTCGTCCCTTCCTCTTCCTCGCCCTCTCCTCCTTCCTCGCCCCTTCCTTCCTCCCCCCTTCCTCCCTTCCTCGCCCCTTTCTCCTCCTTCCGCCCCCTCCTCCTCCTTCCTCCCTCGTCTCCCTTCCTCCTCCTCTACTGCCACCACCTTAGGAAGGGAACATGCATCTAATTGGCTTACTCATGGTTTGTGTGTGTGTGTGTGTGTGTGTGTGTGTGTGTGTGTGTGTGTGTGTGTGTGTGTGTGTGTGTGTGTGTGTGTGTGTGTGTGTGTGTGTGTGTGTGTGTGCTACACCTTTACGATAGCCGGAGATTTTCCTTCCTCCGTCAGTAGTCGCTTTGGTTACATGTTATAATATAAACCTATGTAAATCTGTAGCAGGATGACAAATCTGTATGTATGTTATGACTAAATAAAACGTAAATCTGTACTTAAATTGTAATAACATAAATGTACTAATATTATGAAATCTGTACTTTTATTGTAATGACTTGAACGGAACGTAAATCTGTGTTGTAATGTAAAATCTGTACAAAATATTATGAAATCTGTATATACATAAGAATATAAACTATGTAAATCGGCTCTTGTACAAGCTGGAATATTTAATTGGTTATTGAAACGCAGTAGTACATTAGAGCAGTTAATAAAGCCTTCAGAAAGTGTTAACCAGGTATAACAACTTTTTACCACGCTTCATAAATTTCAACCTCACCCAAATTTTCGAACCACAATTCCAAACCACCTAACCATACCACCTAACCACACCTCCTAACCACACCACCTAACCACACCACCTAACCACACCACCTAACCATACCACCTAACCACACCTCAGACCAGCACCTGACGAGGGCCTGAAGTAGGAAGCCACATCTTGTAAGGTAATTATGGTAATGTGGTAGACCTGAGGGTTTTAAATGGTGTTATGTGTTAGGTTGACGTAATTTATGCATAACTGCTCATTTGCAAATCCTTGACGAATGTGGTGTAGGAATTCCTCTTATTATACCATTTGTGTCTGTGTAGGTGTATTTTCTTGTTGTGTCTGTGTGTGTGTGTGTGTGTGTGTGTGTGTGTGTGTCACACACACATACTGCACACGCTTCTCCTCTCCCCCTCTCACCCCAATGCTTCTCTCTCCCTCTCACTCCTTTCTTGTTTCTCCCCTTCTCTCCTCTTGCTTCTCTCCCCTCCTCTCTCACCCTGGGAAGAAGGAAATGGAAAAAGACGAGGAGGAAGAGGAAGAG